TTGGCACTTATCACCGTCCCCGGCCCGAAATTAATCGGGGAATAATTTTTGAACACCGTCCCGGTCCCTTCGGGGGAATTTTTCGGAGAAAAAACGTATAAATCGGGATTGGGGGATCGGGTCTCCGTCGAGCCGGTTTCAAATTGCCATCCCTAGACCCAGATAACCCAGATAACAGATCAATTACAGCTCAGTGACTTGGTGCGAGATTAGCGGAAGATGTTGAAGTTGTTGAGCGGGATTAGTGAGAGTTGTTAGAATTATTGAGAGTTATTGTATAAGGAGGGAGAGAAGGAGAGAGGAGGGGAATAATTTTTGTAATGACGAAGCTTGGGATCTAACGTTTCCCAGAGTTGGAACCCAGTTTCAAATTAATACAATTTTCCATTGCTATCTCAATTTCAGTCTCAATCTTTTCTCTCAATTCCCATTTTTATCACTCATCTTATCACCCTTAGGGCTTTGAGCTTGGAGTCGTCTACGACGGAGCTCAGGAAGGCAATTAGGTCTTCAGGGCGGTGAGGCGGTGGTGCTGAGGAGGCGGGCATGGTCGCCGGAAGACACGGAATGTCATTAGAGCATGCAACAGTTAACTTAAATTTTACTTCATATATTATTAAAAAATTCATCCACTATTTTAAAAATCACATTTTCATCTACCCTTCCAATAAATTCTTTATTCTATCTCTATTTTATTAAAATAATATATATATCTATACTTATATTTATAGGGATTTTTATTGATAAATTCATTTTAGAGTTGTTATAACCTATTAGGTCCACAAAGGAATATTATAACCTGATTAGTTCCATATACTTTACTTTTTATTCCATAAAGTCCATTTTACTAATTTTATATTTTTACCTGGACTATTATGCCCTTATATATATATATATATACACTGTGTTAATACATAACACGTTCTCTGTTTTTTCGTTGATTTAGTTTTGGCAGTTTCTATCTTTACACTTTTCATCGTCATTCTAATTCAGATGGATACGTTTCTATTTTGCATGCTCGTTCCAAGGCTTTGATGTGCTAGGGTTTCATTGTTGCTGTTGTAGTCTGGTTCGGTGATTTTCAAGTGAAGACAATGAATTTGAAGGTGTTTGGTTGTCACATTTTCTGGAGTATAATTACTTCAAATCAGTTGTTTTCGAGTTACTGGACGATTGTAGGATTGCATGATTAAGGTTAGTATCATTTTGGCTATGAATACATGTTCACTTTATGTTTTGATTTGTATGATGGATCAGATGCTCTGTTTTTTGATTGATATGGATCGGATGCTCTATTTTTTCAATTATATGCATCATACGTGGTCCTGTGGAGGGGAGGTCATTCAGATTATGTGAAGAATGTGTAGTTCTCATTTTACTTTGATGTATCCATAATGAGGCTCTGTGTGGGTGATATAATATAGAGTATATGTATCAATGTGAATGTTTACATCCTGTTAATATTATGTGAAGAATGTGGATGTTCTCATTTTATGTGGATGTTCTCATTTTACTTTGATGTTTGCTTAATGAGGCTATGTGTGGGTGATATAATTCAGAGTATATGGATCAATGTGAATGTTTACATCGTGGTCCTGTGGAGGGGAGGTCATCAAATTAGTGAAGAATGTGGATGTTTTATAATTCAGAGTATATGGATCATTGTGAATGTTTACATCGTGTTAATATTATGTGAAGAATGTGGATGTTCTCATTTTACTTTGATGTTTTCTTAATGAGACTCTGTGTGGGTGATATAATTCAGAGTATATGTATCAATGTAAATGTTTACATCTTGTTAATATTATGTGAAGAATGTGGATGTTTTCACTTTACTTTCATGTTTGCTTAATGAGGCTCTGTGTGGGTGATATAATTCAAAGCATATGTATCAATGTGAATATTCACATCTTGTTAATGTGAATTATGGATTTAACACTTGAACTATACATGTAGTCATCTAATTTTTGCACAATGTGAATTTTCATATTGTTTTGGATTATTGTTGATTGTTGTATTGTTATGTTTTTACAGGAGATGGATACCTTTATGATGTTGGTGTGTACATATGGTTGCAGTACAACTGTAATAAATGTTGCCCGCGCATTGTGTTATTCGCATTTGGTTGACTGTTTGTGTGAAAAATGGGGTGAGTTGTCTGCTGGTTCTATTTCATTGTTCTGTTGGTTACCTGGGATTAATAGGTGTGATTTGGACAATGACAAAGAATTTCAGAATATGTTACTGCTTGCTAAATCAATGGGGGTACAACATGTAGAAGTTGTTGTTGAGTTGAAAAGTGATATTGGTCAGTCAAGTAGCTTGGGATCGCTGCGTGTGGGGGTTGAGGAAGAAATTGATGCACTACGGAGATTTTCCCACTATAAGGAGAATGTGTTATTGTCAGCCCCTTAGGAAAATGGTATTACGCATGTGGGACAATGGTTTGTTAGAGGTGCACAAGAATTTTGTGATGTTTTATGTAAGTATGCCATCCAATGTGGGTTTCAGTTTACGTATGTCAAGAACGAGACAACAAGAGTTACTGCTGTGTGTGCGATGCGTGAGAGAGGTTGCTTGTGGGTTATACATTGTAGAGCACAACGAGCAAATGGTTTTTTCTACATCAAGAGGTTTAGTGACGTGTATAGTTGTGGTACAGATGTTCGAACATCGAAGAATCCACGAGTTAGTTCAGATTTGGTGTCGAGCACCATATTTGAAATTGTGAGGAACAAGCCGTTGACTCGGCCATGTGAGGTGGTGACTATTTTGAAGAGGGATGGGCTAGATGTGAGTTACCATGTGGTATGGTTGGGCGTGGAGAAAGAAAAGGCCGTTATTCATGGAGATCACTCATTATCGTTTGACCAGCTGCGGTGGTATTCGGATGCTATGATGCGTTACAATCCGGGCAGTTATGTCAATATTGATTATGATGCGAGTAGTCAACATTTTTATCGTTTCTTTGTGTCATTCGCTGCATGTATTTCTGGGTTCAATTCTTGTCGACCTTTATTATTCCTGGATGGAACATTCCTCAAAGGAAAGTACAAAGGTCAGCTACTTGCGGCAACGGCGAAAGATGGAAACAATGGTTAGTATTTTTTTTAGCTGTCTATTCATGTCAATATTTACATTGAGCAGCATAGTCTGGACATGTGACAGATGATTACACAATGTGATCCATATTTACACTAGTGTCAATGTTTACATCAATACACATTGATGTGAACAACAACAAAATATGAGTGATTGAGAAATTATAAGTAATGTGAATATTCACATTTGTATGCACTGATGTGAATGTTCACATCTGTGTCTGCTAATGACAGTAATGTAAACATTCACATTATTATACACTGATGTGAATGTTCACATCAGTGTATATTAATGTCAGTTTACCCATTAATGAACAGTACTGTGAATGTTCACATTATTAATGACTCAACAATCAACAATGAATTATTAATGGTCATTAATGTGAATGTTCACATCGTTGATGTTTACGAACCCAAATCCAAAAATAGCAATAGTAATAGGGCAATGTAGATATAAACATTCACATGACCTGTTTCATTTATATTGTTTTCTATTCACTTTGGAATATTGTGAACAGCTTTGTAATGGTGTTGTGTTGTAGGTCTATTTCCTGTTGCATTTGCGATTGTTGATTCAGAGACCACGGTCAATTGGTCGTGGTTCTTACACGAACTTGGGAAGGTTGTTGATGGTAAGCGCTAGATTACTTTTATTTTGAATCGTAATCTTGGTCTGTTAGAAGCTATGCCAAAGGTGTTCCCATCGGCTCACCACGGTTATTGCTTACAATACTTGAAGAGCAATTTAAGAGACCGGATGAAAGAAGTTAATAATGGATTTAGGGATCACCTAGCAAGTAGTTAGGGTGACTGTGCTTACGAGCCAACTGTGGTAGGGTTCCATGAAAAGCTTGCAAAATTAAAAGAGGAGGGTAAACAACGAGTGCATAATTTTTTCAAGGACTTGGCACCTGAGCACTGGAAAAATTCATACTTCAGATAATAATAGTTTCCTAAAGTGTTCCATTTGTCAAGTTTAAAATGGTAGCGATGTGAATTTTGAGTTTAGAATGGTAACAATCGTCCAATTGTGTTTCATGTTCAATGTGAATGATGTGAATATTCACATCTGCTAATGATGAATGATGTGAATGATGTGAATGTTCACATCTGTTAATTTGTCAAACAGTCATGCAATGTATTACAAATGTGAATGTTCACACCTATCATATTATGTTGTTGTTAACATTCACATCTGTCTATCATTTAAGTTAACAACATAATAAGCATATAATGTTCATTGCGAATGATGTTAATGTTCACATTTGTCAATGTGAATGTTCTGTACTGTACAATGTTTGTGATATTGTGCAGGGGCATGCATTATGGGGAGATGACATCCAATGTGGCGGAGTCATTTAATAACTAGATTAAAGAAGCACGTAATCTTCCTATCACTCAAATGATGGACAAAACTCGTACTCAGTTGATGCGGCAAATGTCTGCACGACGTGACCAAGCAAACAAATGGAATAAGCTTATTTGTCCTACATTCGAAACAATGCTTATGGATTCGTTCAATGACAGCAAGTTTTGGCAAGTTAGCAAAGCCAATGAGGATGTGTTTGAAGTTCATTCGATACCTTTTGTCACAATTGATATTGCAAGCCGTACATGTTCTTGCTTCAAATGGCAAATCAACGGATTTCCATGTGACCATGCTGTTATTGCTATTTAAAAGAGCCGCTACAATCTCAATGATTGTGTGGAACATTACTTTTATGTACAGACATATTGTGCAGCCTATTTGGATGCCATATTCTCTGTACCATCGGTGGAAAAGCCGCCTTTCGATCCCACAACCTTCACTATATAGCCACCAACTGTGAAAAGACTACCCGAAAGGCCGAAAAAGAATAGAATCCCATCAAAGGGTGAGAAACTGAAACAATGTTTTGCTGGTCTCAAAGAGTCATAGTGTCTCCATATTCCATCAGCATTGTCAAAGACCACAATTGTCCAATGGTTGTCGTGGTTGATTGGGAAATGGATATATCTGTTTTTCATTGCTTCTGGAAAATGGCTGTCCATCAGTTTTTCTCTCAGTGCTTGATCTTGGTTTTGTAGTGGAGTCTGTAAGTCATATATATGTTTGAAATATGTCATAAAACTATGTAGTAATACATGTTGATAAAGTAGAAAATTTTGCAGTTGTAAGGTATGTTAAGTTTTGCTTACATTGATGAGTGTTGAGAAAACGTAAGATCTTCCTGCGTATGGATTGCTTGCAAAGACTAGATCGTTTTTCTCAAATTCTTCAATGGTTGGTTGGAGTGCCAATTGCTTTTCTGAGAAGGCATCAATGACCTGAAACATGTTATATATGAGAATGTGTTAGGTTTGTGGAATAGGTTATTGAATATGTACAGAAACTGTAAAATTGTGCAGTTGGAGACCTACATTCCCATATAAGGGTTCCCTGTTGGTCAATCTGCATATATCTCAAAAGTATACGCAATTTTCATCTTCGCTGCCAGACCAGACACAAGCACTTGATTGTGTGTTGTTGATGAGTTGAATTTGGTCTTGGTCTTTTTTGGATAGGCTATGCCAAACCTTGTTTGTTTTGCGGCATGAAATGGTGAGTGGCTTGTTTGGGATTGATTCTTCCTGGAAATCATCATCACTTTCCAATACTTGAAGATTTGTCTTCTTTTGATTGGCATGCTCTTTTGGGTTTGTTTCAGCAGCAACTGGTTTCTCTTGGCCAATATGTTCTTGCATCTTTTCTTTCTGCTGTTGTTTTGCTTCATGAGCACCCTCTGTTTTGTTGTCATTCTTCTTCTCTTTTTCTTCATCAGTACCCTGTGTTGGTTTGGGTACATCAGCAGCAGTTTGTGTCTTGTTCCTTGTATCTTCTTTGGCTTTTGTCATTGGTTGGTATTCAAAATTTGGGTCATGTGCTTGTTTTCTTGATTTTTGTTTGATTCTCTTGACCATGGATCTTTGTTGGGGACTGCAAGTTTTTTTGGTGGACATTTCCTTCAATTGATCTTCTTTTTTACGCAATTCAGCCATGAATTTTTGTTCCATTTCTTGCATTTGTGCTCTCAGGGCTGATATGAGCTTGTCCTTGTCGTCCTCTTTGGTTGGTGTTTGTGGTTGGTCATGACCTATAAAAATGTCGGATTGTTTTTTGGTTAGTTTAATGAAATTTTGCAGTATGATTTAGTATTAGACAATAGTTTACCTTGTGCATGAAATATGTCAGATTTCTCTTGCAGTTCTTCTTGTTGGTTTGTCAGTTCTTGTTCATTGACTTCTTCGTGTTGGTTTGTTTGTTATTCTTCTTGTTCTTGTTGTTGGTCTTCTTCTTCATCAAGGTGTTCTTCTTCTTCTTCTTCTTCTTC